TGTCCTTTGATACTGGATCTTCCGCTGCGCTGCTTCCCAGCCTATGATGATGATGATACGAATGTGTTGTTATTGATTTCCCGTTGTTTCACTCTATGCGTCGCGCACATTGACACCTTGTGAATGTTGCACCTATGCTGCTGGTTGTTGCCACTTTCGTCACTGCTAGATCCTAGGCTTTCAGTGCATTTCACTTTCTGATATGGTACACAATTGTGCCCTGGGGACACGCAGTGCACGGCCGACACATCACGGACTGGCCGCGGGCCAATCAGAAAGCAGCATTGCCGTCACACGTGAGCTGTGAGCCAATGAGAAAGCTGCGAACACTTGGAGGCTGGGTGGGTGCCTGAACATGCCTAACTGCATGAGGCCCAGGCCAGTATCTGAAACTGGGCCTGGGCGCAGACACTTGGGGACAGACTGAAGTTACTGGGGCCCCCACACACCTGGCCAGGACAGCCGCAGGGGGCACACTCTTCATAAAGGAAAGTGTGAGCTCTGGAGGGGGCATTCTGGTCTTGGCAGGCAATGCGGACACACTGCTGCATTGCTGCGCTAGTGTCTGCATGCGCGCTGCGGGTCGGACGCGCACACAGGCGCTGAGGTGAGAGGGGCACTGCCGAGGCAGCGAGCACACAGTGGCCATAGCCAGGCTGCAGAGGCACAATGCAGGTGATGGCGATGGTTTGTCTTCGGGTAGGAGGCACATGAGTGGGGGAGTTAAGGTGTGATGAGGGGAGGAACGTACCTGGTGTATGCTGGTGGTCGGCATTGGTGTTGACATCACGTACATTGGTCTTCGACTTTGATGTGATCCAGTCTCATGAACATAGAGTAGGATAGATAGGCTGCGTGGTGTAGGCTGGGCGCTGGGCGCCAGACAATAGGAGCAACTTTGGATACAGTGTTGGTGTGACCAGAGAGCGTCGGCATTGGCACTAGAGTTCATTGTATTGCTCTTATTTGAATTCTATCTTGTGCATTTGAGCTCTGCTTGGTACATGCCAATCTGGACTATTTCGTGATTTTGCAATCTGGTTTTCTGTCTATTGCTCTCGCTCATATTCCTTGCATATCTATATACTACACTATCTGTATAATTTTTATGATTTCATTGTTTCTTTTTGGCTCGGCCGGGAAGTGGTCCTGGGCCACTCTGGCAGCCTAGTACTGGTATGTTTTGTTAACTTTTATAACTTGAAGTATGGTCATATTTCTGCAAGCCTATTTTTCTTAAGGAAGTTGAAGTTCCCGAGTTTTGAGAGCCCGTAGGACTGTTTTAACCTGATTTGACACAAGGCTAACCTGGGTAACCTTTTTTTTGTTTTTTGCAGCAAGGCCGGTAATCTGTCTGGGAGTTGGTTTCAAGAGGAGGACAGGAGAGATGGCTGTGGCAGTTCTAAGAGAAACCCTGGCAACCCTCAGCAGGTAATGGGAGACAGTGTGGACCTTGTGCACTGCCTGCACTTTCCGGTTCTTTTCTGTCAATGGCCTATGTGTTGCCACCAAAGCCTCTCACAAAAGAAGCTTAGCGGCAGGCCCCACTGGACCTAGTGCACTGCCTGCACTTTCCAGTTCTTTTCTGTCAATGGCCTATGTGTTGCCACCAAAGCCTCTCACAAAAGAAGCTTAGCGGCAGGCCGCACTGGTGCTATGCTTTTGCTTAGAGTGCATGAACCTGACCATAGACGTAGCCAGGTTCGGCCTAACATAGCCCATACATAGCACCAGTTGGGCTGGCTTATTGTGTTCTGTAGTTTTGTGCTTAAACCACCATATGTCCCAAGGTGCTGAAGCCCCGGAACACATCCTGTATGTTGGATGCATGAAATGGTGCAGTGTAAAATCCCTTACCAGAGATATAGAGCTCTTGCAGGTCCTAAATGTGAGTAGCAGGAAGGAGCAAGTGTTGTGTTGCTGAGCTTCTGAGGGTGCAGATGGCCACAGAGAAATCCGTATGAGAATCGAATCCAAGTTAGGACAAGTGCAAGGGGTTTACATAGGAACATTCAAGGGAAAGAAGTTCAAAGAACCCAATTTGTGGGATGAAGAAAGTTTTTTCAGAAGTAAAGCAAATGACCAACTTCTAGTTGTACATGGTGACCATAACACTGAACTGTGTAGTTGTCGAGCAAGGTGAAGAGAGCAGTCATCAGACAGCGACGGTGAAGTGGAGGGGTAGTTACTGCCAAGGTTAGAAAGGGAGCCTCTACCGTCTCCCCCGGAATAGAATGTACGGCCACCATACCTGTATTTGAGGCAACTTTTCAGTCTAGATATGGCAATAATGACCGTCCGTTCTATTCGGATGAACACGGTAGCAAAGCTGCAGGGAATAAGAACAGAAGAAGGGCCTGAAGTATCCTGCTCATCCAGGTATTGCTGCAGGCAAGCCTTGGGAAAAGATGAACATGACAGAGACAGAGTTGAAGACGATGTACCAACTATCCTGGCTCAGTTGGTAACCAATAAACTGTTGAAATACAGAGCTGAGTTCGAACTCGAATGGAATCAAATGAGTGAATTTACCTGGGGCTGGTCAGTTCGATGGTGATATCTCAAGGCTGTCGCCCTTTGCAAAAAAGAAAAGCTTAGGAAGGGTGGGGGTGGGTGGGGTGGCGAAGTTGACGGGGAGAATGGGCAATCAGCTGGTTTGAAGTGTGAGAAGGAAGGGCACATCATGAAGGGTATCCAGAGCTAAAAGGGAACGTGTACCTAAATTTGTTCTGATGATGCAGCTTCATCGACCAGTATGACCTCGAAGGAGGGAGGATGTTTGTTATCGATGTTGGCGGAAGACTTGTTGCGACACAGGGTGGGAATACCTATCGCGTTGACCCTGACACCAATACAGTCATACATTTCAAAGGAACTGAATCGCCGGATGAGCTGGTCCGGGAAGGTGCACGATATGTGGAGAAGCGCTACAAAAGGCAATATCTGCTCGAGAATTGCACATCATCAATCGATGTCAAGATAAAGGGGAACAAATACTATATTCATACCCGGCCGTTCCGCTTTAACAATTTGAGGCTCACAGCAATTATTATGCAACCTCGCGCCGCCATCCTAGGAGCTGTGGATCGCAACCGGTATATGACAATCATTGCCCCCATTGTCATGGCTGTGGGCGGTCTGGGCTTCAGTTGCCTACTCATCTCCCTCTTTGCGGGGATTAAACTATCACATTTGCAGTTGAGAATGAGGCTCGCCAAGGAGTTGGTCGCGAAACAAAAGGTGGAGGCAGAAAACGAAGCGAAGACAACCTTCCTTTCAAACATGAGGTGTGTTGCAGCTTCTTCTTCTTCTTCTTCTTCTTCTTCTTCTTCTTCTTCTTCTTCTTCTTCTTCTTCTTCTTTTTTCTTCTTCTTCTTCTTCTTCTTCTTCTTCTTCTTCTTCTTCAAATCATATTTTGGATAATAGAAAAAGAAAACAGAAATGTCCTCCTTGTCTTTGTTGGTTGGCTAACAACTTTTTCTATTCTCTGTATGGCAATATACATTATGTACGTTGTGACCTTTCTTTTTTGATGGCTATTCAAGCAGGAAAACATATTTCTTCTTCTTCTTTTTCTTCTTCTTCTTCTTCTTCTTCTTCTTCTTCTTCTTCTTCTTCTTTGTCTTCTTCATCTTCCTCCTCATCCTCCTTGTTGTTCTTCTTCTTTTTTTTTTCTTTTTTGATGAAAACATTTCCTGATGGCCCTGGATCCATATCCATTCTGGGGAGCATCAGTCCGGTTCCTATTCCACCAGCAAGTCAAAATTACAATATGAAAACGCCCTCATGTTTCCTTCCATCTGGCCGAACTGTCAGCTTGCCTTACCTCTACCTTTCCTCTCAGGTCCCATTGTGTGAACCTGTCATATTTATCGTGAAAGCTAAAGGGATAGAAGATGACCCCGGCAAGTCAAATTTACAATATGAAAACACCCTCATGCTTCTTTCCATCTGGCTGAAGGACCCCTGAACAGCATTGATTGCTCCAGCAGTGTGGAGGATTGACTGTCAGCTTGCCTTACCTCTACCTTTCCTCTCAGGTCTCGTTGTGTGAACCTGTCATATTTATCGTGAAAGCAAGAAAGGGATAGAAGATGAGGAAAACACCAACTCAGAACTCGCAAGTTTAGAGCCCTTTGCCCTGGAGCTCACGTAGCCTGTAGCGGAACTTGTCCATCTGCTGGCTGGCATCTCTGCCTTCTCAGGCGCGCTTCTGAATTGTGCCAGTCTTTCCATCGTATGTGGGAGTCCTTAAGATCTGGTACCTTGCCGCCTGCCAGCCACTCCGTAGTAAAGTTTTCCTTGTATCTCTGCTGCTGGTCCATATTGTCCGGCATGGAGTGTCTCGTTTTCTGCCACTTGCATAGAATCTCTGCCTGAATCAATGTCCTTGTCTCCGCCCATACCTTCTCCCTTGGCATTGAGAAGCATTCAATGGTTCTGCTGCACATAGACCAGAGTGTAACCTTCCTGATCATCCGAAGCCAGATCTTCTTCATCTTGTGGAAGTGAGCAGGGATGTTAGTCCATAGAAGGAGTTTGATGGGGTGTTCGGGGAGGGGAGTCGGGAAGAGGGAGTCCTAGAGGTCCGATGCCCTAGCCCAATATTCTGTAGCTTCCCTACATCGTATTAGGCAGTGTAATATATCTTCTGGTTCCTTGTCCGAACATACCACACATAGGTCCAAGCTGTTAGGGCCATTCTTACTTCTTCTGATATGCAGCCATTGGTTGACCGGTAGTGCCACATATGTGATGAGCCATTGAAGGCTTCTGATTTTGACTGGACAGATTGATTTGAATTTCTTCATGGTATTTGTGACATCTGGTTAGCGTCCTAACCGGTCAACTTTAGCCATCTGTTTTTAATTGTTGGATCAGGATCCTTAGTCTTGAAAAGTCGGTTGTATCCCAGTTTGACTGTGTATTCATGGATGTTGACATTTGTTTTGAGGTTTCTGCTTCTGCCTCGTGTCCAGGCCCACTCTGCTGGATTGATTTCCACGTCTTGAATCGTCGTATCCATCCTGAAGATTGTTTTCGGCCACAACCCCAACACTCTTATTTTCTTGAGCACAAATGAATTTAGGACTGTTCTTTCCACATTGTTGTTGAGAATGGATGAAAACCTAGTGTTGAGGAGGTAATTGGGAACAAGGTGAACACAGCTGGGGTATCCGATCCCCTCTGTTTGTGGGAGAATTGATAAGCCCTTCCAGGGGTTAATTCCTGTACCAACACTCCCCATTCCCCAGATTTCCAAGTCAGGGCTTCGCTCAGCAGTTCCTTCACCCTTCTGGGATGCATTTGATGATGGATTGTAGATTCTTATCTCATCTATGACACCCCTTGAGCTGGGAGGCAAGTTCTTGTTCTGTCAACCAATCCTGTTTTCTTAGTCCCATAGATGGCTCACTTTCCAAATTATGTGTTTGATCCAAGATAGCCATCCCCTTCCTCCAGGCTTAAGGGATAGTGGGTGATCTCTTTCATCTCTCACCCAAGGATTACCAAATAGGGGTTACCTCAGCACCTCCTCTTTGGACTTGGGTCTGCCCACCTTATTTGGCATGATTTCCCACCATATCCATAGTAATGCTGTCCAGTAGGGTTGTGGTTTTGTTATGCGGCCTGTACTTGGGCTCCATGATTTGTTCATCACCCTAAATAGACCAGACATATTCTCTGGTGTAACTGTCCAAGGCCAATTTATGCTGCGCGAGTCCCAGTCTGGTCAGGAGTTTAACAATCCAGTTAACCTGTAAGGCTTACCCAGACCTCCTCTGGCTGGTTACCTTGTGATATAGTGCCAGACTATCTTTGGTACATAGTTCTCCTTGTTGGGGTTACCTGACCACAAGTATGCTCTTGCTTTACAGTTGAGGTCCTTAATTGTATGATCCGACACTGTCCAGATTGAGGCTATGTACCACATCATTGAGAAAATTGATGTATTGATAGTTAGTGCACGACCCAGCAAGGTCGTAAACGTGTTTTCCCACCTACCCAGTTTGTTGATTTGGTTGGAGAGCGCGTTTTGGGCCATTTTGGGGGTGAAGCCATGTTTCGTCACTAAGATGCCCAGGCATCTCGTGGGTGTCTCAAGTTTCTCCGATGTCATGGCCGCGTCCGGGCCCTGGAGCTGAGGGATGTCCTCTTTAGACAACCGCCAGCGAATTGTTTTCTTCCAGTTGATTTTCATTTTTGATGCCAAATTGAACGCCTCCATGGATCTTACTAATGCACTGAACGATGAGTCTGATGCTCGAATGAGGACCGTCGGGTCGTCGGCAAACATAATGACTGTTGGGAACTGTAGGTGGTGGGGTGTACCTACATTAACCTCTGGTAGCCGATGGATGGGAGGGTCTTTTCGTAAGAAGGATGTTATTGCCTCCATCACAAAGCGGAAGATTGGTGGTGCTAGCGGGTCACCCTGGCAAACTGAGCGTGATATTGGATAACAATCTGATAGCAGGCCATTGATTTGAACACAACCTATAGCGCCGTACTACAAGATACGCACCCACTTCCTAAAATTCGGGCCCACTCCCATCTTTTTCGTACTTGCACTGAGGAAGGCCAATTTGACCTGATCGTAGGCCGTCACGAAATCGAAAAAAAGGATTGCTATGTTGATTCTTTTCTCTCCGACTCTTTTGGCTTCTTCGTTGAGAGTCGTGACATTATCGAGAATGTACCTTCCTGGAAAGAAGCCTGTTTGGTCTATGTGGAAGCATTCGTCGTTAAATCTAAGATTCGAAAGGCCAAGGCTTTGACTAGGATCTTATAAGGGAGTGTAAGCAAAAAAATAGGCCTATAGGATCTTAAAGGGGCCAAGGCCTTGTCCCCTTTCTTGTACAACAATGGGACCACACTGCTGCTCCTAAGTCCCGCTTCAACCAGCTGTCATTATAGAAGTTCAGCAGATCTCCTCCCAGGAGCGCCTGTAATTTTGCCCAGAATTCTTTCGTCAGTCCGTCAATGCTTGGTGACCTGTTGTTGTTCATATTTTGTACTGCGAGTTGCAATTCCTCTATAGTGATGGGTTTGTCTAGAGGTTTTGCTTGCTCTTGAGAAATCGTTCTTTCCACGTATTGTAGCATCTAGTCCTTGCCTCTCTAGTGCTTTGAGGAGTAGGTGTAGGGGTCTTCATGTGGTATAGCTCTTTGTAGAAATCATTGGCTATGTTCAGCATTCGATCACTATCAGTTATTGTCTCAGATGTGTCTCAAAGAGTCTTTAAGCCTTCAAATTGAGTTGGCCTTTTGAGTTTGATTTTATTCTTGCGAAAAAGTGGTTTTCGATCCTTGGGATCATGAAGGACACATTTGTGGCAATCTGCCATTCCCCCTCCTTCTCCAAGTTAAGGGTAGCAGTCAGCGGTCGGGTACCCATCAGGGTCAGCCTTGCTGATTTGGTTGAAGCCACCACATGAGATGCTTCGCCATCAGCGATCTGCTGAATGGTGGTGAATTCTGGTGCTATATGCTGCATTCAATTTCTTCAATTTTTTTGTCTTGGCCAATCCCACCGCCACTTCTTTTTCTAACTGTGAGCGTGCTGATTCTTCCTCTGCCTTTGTCTGGTCTGTGTTCTGTTCATACTTGTGGGGCATAGGTGAGGTGCGCTGATCGCAGATGCACGGAAAAAAAAAGCAAAAAAAAGCAACCATGATGTGTGCATACACGCTGGCTGGCTGGAGAGAGAGAGAGAGAGAGAGAGAGAGAGAGAGAGAGAGAGAGAGAGAGAGAGAGAGAGAGAGAGAGAGAGAGCCCTTTCACATTATTCAGACAACCCCTGACGGTACTTCAAAAGGTCCCTGCCAGAAATTAGCAGGGGTCCTGTTGGCAGGAGAAGGGTAGTCGCTGGACTTGTAGTAAGGAGGGAGCAGGCCAGCTATATATCGTGTAGCTTCAAATTCAGGTCCATCTTTCTGCAGCTATGGGTTACTGAGTTACTAACTCGGTCTGTGATTTTCAGGGCTTCACTCCACTACTCACCAAATTTGCAAAACTAGAGTGAATCTCCTCCTAGAAATTGGAACCATACAAGCCATATGCTTTTCTTTTATGATGAGTGGAGTGAGGCCCTTAAGGCCACTGCACATAAGAAAAGGAAAAACAAAAAAACGAGACAGCTACTGTCGTGTTTGTAATACGTTCGTATTAACTTCGTAACCCATAACTCTTGGAACACAGGCCTGAATCTGAATCGCTGGCCTGCCCGTGGTCTTTCAGCAGTTCGATGAATGACCTTCCAAATGCATGGGATCCCTGCTAATTCC